AAAGCGCGTGAATTGGGCGTGACAGTAGCAGAGTTAACTCCCCAACAAGCAACGGAAGCACTACTGAACGCGTCCCCACCAAACTGCCCACCGACCTACCGTTCCGGTGAGGAGTGTTGGTGTAAGGCGTTAGTATGGTAGTGATTATTTCCTGTTACTTAGTATTGTCTTATATGTACCTGTTTTTCATCATTGTCATATCGTCCATTTCGCCAGGGCTTGAGTTTGGTCTTTCTGGGACTTGGTTTTTTTTACAGTTTCTCAGTCGGTATTTGTATGTTCCGTAGTGTGGTAAGGCAAGGTCAGCAGAGGTTCCTGTCATGTTACTTTCGCCGTAGTCTATCACGGCTAATCCCATTTCTAGTGGTCCCACTGCTGACTCTGGTTGGCCTATACATTATCTTTGGCATACCACACCTTGATTACTTCGGCCACTATCTTCGAGGGCATTCTAACCCAACTGCTCGTGCTGGCAATCTCGTTCGCGCCGATCAGCTCGTGAACCCGCTGAATGGTCGCCCTACTACTGTTGATTACTTCTTTCCTGAAGGAGCAGAAAAAGAAGGAAATGTTTGGAGTGCGGTTCAATGCACTGGTAGCACAGTTAACCGGACGTGCATCTTTGACAACCTCTACTACAGTAAGACTGAGGATATGTTCTATCTATTGCTACCTCGGAAAGGAGAGGTACGGTCGGCGCCATATTTTCAACGCCCCGTGTCACCACTAGTCGATCCTGTCGTCCCTGGGCCCTACGACGGCCTCGTTTCGGCCGATCGCATTCGTAGTCTCACAAAAAACTGTTCCTCGTTTTTCATGGGAGATGTACACTATGATCCGATCGGGCGACCATTTTCTCCCAAACTTGTGTTTTTCGAAGATGTTGTTGCCCTGCAACACTGGCTTGACCAGCGGTCGTGGAAACCAACGAACGTTGATGGCGTTACTATCTACGGCTACGCCCTTTACGCTCATAATGTCGGCCATGTTATGTACGACGCTCTCTACCCGCTGTTCGTGTCGATGATCCGCTTTGGGTACGGCGATGCTGATGTGAATGTTCTTATGAAAGTTGAGGACCGCTTTAATGGCAAGAAGTTCCTCTGCGACGAATTTTGGCCTAAATTTGGTGGCGGCAAATACAGCCGTTTGAACGACTTGACACGGCCTATCTATCGCTTTCAAAGAGTTATTGTTGGCTCACGTAAAATGGCCCATAGGAGTTTCAATACTGATACTACCATGCCTGGATCTTATACTTATGAGAATTCCCTATACATGTACACACAGCGCATTCTTGCCCGGTATGGCATCAACGATGTTGCTTCTTCAAGAGGCAGTAGTGTGGTCCCGATTGACCACGGTGAAAACGGTTGTCGAGGCGTTATCGTTGACAATAAGAGGTTTACTGATACTGAACGGGCTATGCTCGAATCGATCGCTGCTCATTCGGCTGAAGATCTCGACTGTGACATTACGTTCATACGGTGGGAGAGGTATACGTTTGAGGAGCAGCTGAAGATCTTTTCTGAGGCCAACGTGTACATCAGTGGTGTCGGCACTGGTATCACTCGATCGCATTT